AAGTGAAGTAGCAACTCGAACGCACAGCGTTGAATAAAGCTCTGTGATTGGTTCGTGTGTCACCCTGTGCGTCCACGCGCACTGTGAGACCTCATAGTAATGTTTGTGAACACGGGCGTTGATTTCATTGATCAGTGTACGTCCTGTGGCTGAAATGATGACGATGATGACAGTAAATATTTTTCATTGGTGGTAGGGACATGTAAAGTGCCCCGTAAGGGCTACCTTTTTTTGACCTTCATAAGTGCCACTTGTGGTCTAAATTGAATGAAATATTTTTGATTTTGATTATTATTAACTATTCCACAGACAACAATCGACAACGAGACCGGCGAGTCGAAAGAAGAACTCAACCTCATCTCCAAACCAGCCGAAGAACTGAACAGGGAGTTTTTGGAATCGTTGCCCAAAGACGAGAAACCTCTCAAGATCTCCGTCAAACCGGTAGAGAAGCTCATCGAAGCGAAGCAGAGCGAAGAAGCGAAGGAATGTGAGCGAAAGCCGAGCGAAGCGAGCGGAGCGACGCTTAATGAGCTCGCGCATAAGCTGAATTTGAGTGAGTATTGGGTAAAGTAAATGTTTTAGATAGCTCGTAGAGACGATGGCCGTTGGGGCAGGAAAGTTCTCGAGTGGCGACCACGGGCTGGAAGACGTAGCGTGGGCAGGCCTCCTACTAGGTGGACCGACGATCTGGTGAAGGTCGCGGGAAGAGCCTGGATGCGGGCAGCGCAGGACCGTGCATTGTGGAAAACCTTGGGGGAGGCCTTTGTCCAGCAGTGGACGTCATTTGGCTGAAACGAAACGAACGAAATGTTTTAGAATTTTTAAGAGATTCATTTTGGAAAAGTGTAAAACTTGTACCAATCTTGGAATTTACGTAAATCTTAATTCTCCACCCATAGCAATATAGTTTTATATGTAGCTCGGTCAAGTTAGAAGTTAATTTACATAATATTTTTAGGTTTATACATATTATTGTACGTTAATTACCCTTATATTTGGACAAACTTGACCGGGATATAAAAACATTTTAACCAGAGAATCACCGTCGGTAGATGAAGTTATCGCCTAGTTACAAGGGGGCGTTATCGCCCACTTTGAGAAAGAGTGCCTTAGGAAGTAATATTGTTTTAATAATAATAAAGTAATAACAGATGTTTGCCGAAGTTTCGGCCATCATGTGTAAGAAATAATCTTTAAAAAATAAAGACTCAATGTTTTAAGAATAGTTCTTTATAAAGCCCGGTCTGTGAGCACGTAGAATTTTGTCCAATGACCCCAAGCTACCCATCCTTATCGCTCGCGCGTAATTATGTTGCTGTCGCGACTGTGCGACGGGCGCCCGCAGTGAGTGTGCGAGCGCGACAGCAACATAATTACGCGAGAGCGATAAGGATGGGTAGCTTGGGGTCATTGGACAAAATTCTACGTGCTCACAGACCAGACTATAGTAGTGTATTATCCGATAAATAGGTAAATTCTTTTAGTTTAAAAAAAAAGTCACAGGTTAAGAACCAAAACATAGCTATGTATTACCATGTTTTGAGCAAATAAAACATTTGATTTGACTGATCGCCGTTCCCGGCAGGCAACCCAGCGGGCCCATATGTAGCGGTGGCGCCCGAGACTCGACTCAACGGCCACGACGCGAAGCCCCTCGAACAGGTGAGTATTTGTCGGGCTTGGCTCTTTCTTTTCTTTCTTCTTTATGTTTATTTAACCGTTCGTACACTTCAGTTTCTGAAGGTGAGAATAGACTAGCGCAAGGGTCTCCAAACTACGGCCCGCCCACTGCCATCAATCCGGCCCGCGACAGCTTAAAACTAAGCCTATGTTTACATAGGTGGGCAGAAAATTTTAAATTGTTATGGCCCTTGCAACATACCGAAAAAAAATTATGGCCCCAAGGCTTCAAAGTTAGAAGACACTAGTGTCATTTGATCACCCATGGATAAGAAGTCCACTTTGATCACCATGGGTGATCAAAAGACACCAAAGTGTCGCCAAAATCCACTTTGAACACCTGGGTGGTCTAATCCAAGTGATCAAAGTGGAACAGACTTTTAATTACAAACCAAACGTCTGTACATTTGACCTGTATTGTCATTCGTAAGAACGTTACATTACATAGAAATGCTCTAGTCTCTACTCACCTTTACTTTCAATTTAACAGTTTATAGGGTAGAGACCCCGTTTATGGTCACTGTAATTTTTTTAACATTTAATTATAAAAAAAAATGTTAAAACTTCCAAAGATTAATGTAAAGATAAATAATAGTATAGTAATAATATAAAGCTTTACAAATATTTATTCTGTTGCTATTTTACATTATAGCTTAAAATGTAGAGCGGCAAAAACTTTAATCTCAAAATCATATTTACCTATAGTGACTGAGTTTCTTGCGCTGCCTCTTCTCAGCACTGGCCCATTTATTGTCCCGAAGCAGTGGTAGGGTTAATACTGGGACGTGTAAAAGTGCTTTTTAAAAGCCTATTTGCAAAAATAAATGGGTTTTATGAGTTTTTATTACGATTTTAATTTTGATTGCCATTAGTATTAAGTACTACCTATCTACAGGGTGTTAGGTAAATGGGTATATGAGCCGACACTAGCCCATGTTAACATGGTCATATAAATGGTATGGTGAAGTCAGAAATTTGATATCATCCTTTTATTTTTTTTAATTTTCATACAAAATTAATTTTATAAAATCCGATTTGTATGAAAAATAAAATAATTAACTAAAATGAAGATATCAATTTTCTAACTTCACCATACCATTTATATGACCATGTTAACATGGGCTAGTGTCGGTTCATACACCCATTTACCTAACACCCTGTATAAATAAGTATCTAACGTTAATTTGATTGTGTTTCAGCAGAAGACTCGCCCCGCGGGCCGAAGCTCGCTGCGCGCGGTGCGAGTGAAGCCCACGCGACCGCAACACACGCCCGCCAATACACGTGAGTATTAAATTCACAAATAGATGAAGGGTAGCACAATTAAAAAATAATCCAAAATGTTAAAGTTGTACTACTTTTTGTAGGCGTGCAACTATCACTTCATATTATAATAAAGTCGCTTTCCTCTGCCTTTCCCTATATATGCTTAGATCTTTAGAACTACGCAACGGATTTTGATGCGTTTTTTTAATAGTGATTCAAGAGGGTTTAAATGGCTAAATGTATAAAGCATGCATATTATAGCAAGCAAAATTCCATTGCAACCGTGCGAAGTCGGAGCGGGTCGCTAGTGTATAGTAAATAAATCTGCGTTTCTCTTAAGGCTGATTTTTCAATCGTCGGATAACTTTTAACTGAAGAATAAGTTTCAGTATGGGAAATATGTCAAAATGACAAGTTTATTCTTCAGTTAAAAGATATCTGACGATTGAAAAATCAGCCCTTAGTAACGCCCACAACTTAATGACGGCTATCGTTTTTATACTCAACAGTTGGCACCCCTGGCGATTGACAGGACCTTACTCTACAGTGGCGCCAACTGGTGAGCGCTAAAACGATAGCCCTCATTGGCGTGCTTTGTAGAAGCTTCATGGGAAAAGAAGCAGATTTAATTGAGTAGACAAATATTAAACTTTATAGTATTAGTAGGCTTAATAAGTAGTCACAACTATACAGTGTGAGTCACGTTAAAGTGTACATATGAAAATAGATGAAACTAGACCTATTTTTATCGACAAAAAAGAGGTCAAAAATTTTTTGAGATTTTTTTTTAATTTTTTATAGATTTTTTTTTCTTCCAATTACTTATTGTAAAGAAAACGTAATAACTTTTAAACTAAGCGGTATATCCTGATAAAATAAAAACAGTAATAATGCTAAATAATAGGCGATACTAAAAAAATACATAAAATACACAAAAAATGCCAACAAATAATAAAAAATGATACTTTTTGAAAAAAATCTGCTTTGAAATTCGTGTTTTTTTGGTTATTTGATAAATTTCTCCAAAAAATGCCCCTATAACAGGTGGTTTTTATTACTTTTTATTATTCTCTATCGTATTACCTTCGTAAAACCAAAAATCGCATATCTCTATCCCTATCACAACGTTTGCAATGATCGTTTGAACTAAGCCTCTCCGGGCGCGCCATTCAAAGCTTCGTTAACAACGAAACTGAAAATGGCTCTAGATTTGTAATTTTGATAAAGACAAGTTAGATTTCAAATAAAAACAAAAGATTTCGAAGTAAAATAAGCATTTTAGTTAAAATTAAAAATTGTCTCTACCTGTAGCGTAGAATAATGTTGTGGCAGGCCTTTGTTCAAACGATCATAGCAAATGTTGTGATAGGGATAGAGACAGGCGATTTTTGGTTTTACAAAGATAATACGATAGAGAATAATAAAAAGTAATTAAAACTACCTGTTATAGGGGCATTTTTTGGAGAAATTTATCAAATAACCAAAAAAACACGAATTTAAAAGCAGATTTTTTTCAAAAAGTATCATTTTTTATTATTTGTTGGCATATTTTGTGTATTTTATGTATTTTTTTGTATCGCCTGTTATTTAGCATTATTACTGTTTTTATTTTGTCGGGATATACCGCTTAGTTTAAAAGTTATTACGTTTTCCTTACAATAAGTAATTGGAAGAAAAAAAATTCTATAAAAAATTTAAAAAAAATCTCAAAAAAATTTTGACCTATTTTTTGTCGATAAAAATAGGTCTAGTTTCATCTATTTTCATATGTACACTTTAACGTGACTCACACTGTATTATTGCACGCCATCTACACTGAAAACCGTAACCGGATATTTTTTGTGAAAAATTAGAGAACTTGCAAACCAATTTTTTAATTACACCCTGAATTAATACAGGGTGTAATTAAACAATTGGTTTTGGTGAAATCCTGGCAAAATCGGCGCAGGACCGGTTTTTGTGGAAATCCTTGGGGGAGGCCTTTGTCCAGCAGTCAGTCTTTCGGCTGAAACGAACGAACGAACGAATAAATTTATTTGTATTGTCTACAGCGCCCATCCCGCCCGCGCGCGGCTCGCCGCCCCCGCTGACCAACTTCGGCATCCACCACCCGCCGCCCGCCAACCACAGCGACGACGAGATTGTCGAGGTGAGTCATACAGGGTGTAGGCGCCAGAGCGGCGCCGCTGCAGCGTCCTGCATATAAAAATCAATTATATAACCGCCTCTGTGGTCTAGTGGTAAGACCACCTTCAGATACAGAAGTCCCGGGTTCGATTCTCAGTGGGGGCAGATTTTTCTGTTCGGTTTGGTTGGTGGTAGGGCTTGTTCTAAGTCCGCCTGACTAGCTACAACCATCTTACCTAAGCCTGTCGCCATAACAACAATGTTAACAGCATTGTTGCGTTCCGGCAGTTAGAGGTAAGATAGCCAGTTCCTCCGTGGTTGAGGATTCCGGGTGAAGCTCGCTTCCACCTTCGGCCTGATCGTCACTTACCATCAGGTGAGATACAGGCCAAGAGCTTCCTCGTTGTGGATAAAAAAAAATGCCAGACGGTGCGTTGCGGCGCCGCATACCACCATGTATGCAGTGATGCGGCAAAATGTTTGCGGTGCGGCGCCGCACCGCACCGTGTGGCATCTCATCATGGGACATTTGAAAAAAAAAAACTTTATCTGTAATATTTATGAAATCTTTCATACTTAAGAAAATACAAGCATACCGTAGATGGCATTAGTTTGTGAGTACATTCCCTAGTTAAACCCTAAAAAGCGATAATGAACTTACTATAAATGTTTTTCTATGTATTTAACTAAAACCGATCAAATGGTCACCTACTGGTACTTTCACCCTATGTAAGATTTTTAAAAATATTTGTCATTTGTATTGCACAAATTACTAATAGTCCCGTTAGCCCCTCGTACTAAGCTAAACATGTTTGTGTCACGAGTGAGCTCACCACAATAGTCGAGCGGCGGCGGAGACCAAACCCGCGTTCCCCGGATCACGAGTCGGCCAGTCCGACCCCTTCACCGTTCGGCTATCGTGGCTTCATTAATATGGGACAATAATTATACTCAATACTCAATATTTTATTGCATCCTTTATGTACTTAAAATTAGAACATTATGGGCCCTATGGGATTGCTAGCCCATAAAAAGAATGTCAATTGACTAGTCAACTACCACTACCCTATTGACATATACCACTGGCAAAAACTACCAAGTAACCAACCAATCTCTTTTACTTACAGGTCCCATACAAACCAAAAACGCCAGAAATAATCGACCTGGATGAATACCCAGAAAGCCCTATATCGACCAAGAAGAAGAAGCTCGACATCCTCAAAGAACGGGGTTTAGAAGTCACCGCGATCCCCACGTGGCCTCTTCAACCCCCAATCACCCCCCTTTTAAACCCCACCCCTATGCTCCTAAACCCAGCTGTCCAGCACCAAATTATGACCCAGGCCCAAATATTTCAGATGTATAACATAATTCCGCCGAACTATAATGGCGCTCAACCCCCTAAAGTCATCCAAGCAACGAGCCTTTACGGCAGTTCTGGTCCAGAGAAGACCGTTTATGGTAATCCAAAAGACCCCTTCATGCCCCCTCCTCATATCTTAACAGGCACCCCTGTGAAACCCCAAAGAAACATCCCCACCACCACCACACCCCCCCAAGGGCCCCAAGACATCCTAGATCTAACCTGCAAAAGTCCTGTACCCTCCCAGAAACCAGCGGTCGAAATAGTGAGAATACCTACCGCTCCCTCCCCATCCAAAAATTCTCCCCAGAATCTGAGCAAAAATTATACTTTGATTGACGGAAAAGCAGTCGTCGGGTCCAATTTAGAAATCACTTTAGTCAATCCTAGAGTGCAGACGCCCAACAAAAATAGACAGAATCAGAAAAGGTCGTCAAACGGAAAGTTTGTGTCGAGCAAAACTCCAACACCGCCGAAGGAAAACCCCAAGCAATTCCCATCGCCGTCTGGACTGAAGAAGAATCCTATAGTAGTGCCCAATTATCAAATCAATTCGAGGGATAACGTGTCGCCTACGAGTTCTACTGGTAAGTTTGGATTTGAATATTACATATAGTCCGGTCGCCGAGCACGTAGAATTTCGTCCAATGACCCCAAGCTACCCATCCTTATCTCTCGCGCGTATATATTGCTGTCGCGACTATGCGACGGGCGGCCGCAGTGAGTGTGCGAGCGCGACAGCAACATAATTACGCGCGAGCGATAAGGATGGGTAGCTTGGGGTCATTGGACGAAATTCTACGTGTTCGGAGACCGGACTTTAGCACATTTTATCAATCCGGAAAGGGATCAACACCGTATCGCCTTTCGCCGCGCTGTCAACCGCGAGGCGTGGCGTTTACGTTAAGGTGCGGATAAGTGTACGTTGCAGCACAGTTTCATACAAAGAATACTGCGATCCGTTTCCGGGTTGATAAGTGTGCTTCGTCCTAATTAATTTACTTAATAATTTTTACGCTACGGTACCTCCAGCAGTTCATCAGTCCATCTAGTGGGAGATCTGATTATTTATTTATTTATAATACTCGTTTAAGAAACGTTTTTTTTTTTGTGTAGACAATTATTTTAAAGGCAGCACTTAAGATCGAGTTAAAAAAACGTTGCAAATATTGTTTTAGTGTATGTCTTTATGGTTGTCCTAATAAATAAATAAAATAAAATAATAAAATAAACTTTCTTTCCAGGGTCCAGGGACAGCCAAACCAACTCCACCAATGTGTTCAAGCCAACCAATCTAGCGCAAATACTAGAGATGCAGAAATCTGTACCAAGTGTGCCACTTATGGACCCAGTCTACATGAGCGCGTTATACAGCAGCCTAGGGAATTTGGACCAACGTCAATTGACTATGTATAGAGACTTTATGGCGAGCCAGATGAGGTACACGGGACTCCTGAATATGGGGGTAGGCACACCCACTACTAAGAATTGAGTCTAGTCCGAAATGTGTGACTGCGAAGCGGTATGTGCCATATATGGGCCACGTCACCATTATGGGAACAACTTAAAAAAAGGCTTTTTAGAGGTATCTCTTCTGCTAGATTTAAATTCGAATGTATTCCCTTTTTACACGACCCAAATATAGCTTGCCTCACTACCACTTTGGGACAACATACCGCATGGTGCTGAGAAGAAGTGGCGGAAGAAACTAACACCTTTTATATCGGTATTCGAAACAAACATTTTTGTTACCATAAAAATAGATCTTTTTAACTAAAATGCTAGACTTGTAGTAGAAGAGATACATAAATATTTTAGTCTGACACAATGGGTCATATATGGGACATTCACAAATAAGGTATTTCCCCCTAGAGGTGAGGTCTCTTGAGGTAAACGCCTCACACGTGTGTATTAAAATAAAAAAGGCCAGTAAGTAATCTAATTAGATGAATTGACCAAAAATTTTTAATAATTAATATTAGTTATTTGTCTACGTGTCGTTGTTCAATTAACAAGGACGTAGCACACTTATCAGCCCGGAAAGGGATCGTAACCGTATCAACTTGAGGCGGTAAGTATTCTTTGTATGAAACCATACTGCAACGCACACTTATCCGCACCGTAACGCAAACGCCTCGCCTCACGGTTGACAGCGCGCGAAAGACGGTGTTGATCTCTCTCCGGATTGATAAGTCTGCTATGACCTTAATACTATACATTCCACGTTCCGCTTTGAAGTATTTCTGTGAAATACACTTTTTGATAACCATAATGGATAGAAATAGTAACATAGGCCAGCGAATGAAAAACATAGATAAATAAAATTTTCATTAGCTCCTTAAAAATAATACATGCAATAAAATAGTATTGTATTGTTTTTCATTCCTTGACTTTTGTAATCCGATGAATTTAAATTTAGTACATCTCTTTATCTTTTTGGTGACCAAAAATGAAATAAATTTAGCCAATTAGAGTAGGCGCACACCGTTGATTTTTCGTCGGCCGATAGTTTAGTCGGGCAGTTGATCAGTATGGGCATGTATGGGAGTGCGCACACTACGCCGATTCGATTTGGCCGATTCTTCATACAATTTAAAATCGGGCACAACTATCGGCCAACTAAAAATCAACGGTGTTCGCCTACTCTAAAAATCATTGTTCCAAATTTGGCACATTTAATGATGTTAGTTTTTTTATTCAAAAAATGTATTGTGGTATGTAAAAGATTACAATAAGTTTCTTTTTTATTAACTTTGCCTGGAAGAGATGTACTGAATTTTAGTAGGGTAAACTCCAGTCATTGGGCGCTTATGAGTGTCGTTTAGATATTTATTTTAAAATGATTTTAGTGCTGTGTTTTTAGACCGTGACCACATTTTTTGAAAGCATTTGTGTCTTGAAATTATTGGTTTAAAGAAGTCAAATACCCTATTCTCGATTTCATTATAGGTTTTTCACACCCGTTTTTCGTAACAACTCATAGCATCCGTTGACTGGTTGATTACTAGGGTCATGTTGCCTGTTCGCGTCCACCTCTAAAAACAGTGAAAAATGATCATACCCACACACTTACAAAACCGAAAGACTTCTATAAACTTTTATCACGTTATTTTATCGATTTTTCGTGATAAGTCAGTATATTTGTGTTAAAAATCGTCGATAAGATTTTGTCACGGCGCGCATAATAACCCGGCTAGATACTAGGGCACTATTTAAGTTGTGAGCCTCGACAACATAACGTNAACAGCGCTAGATAGTTTATAAAGAATGTCTAAATCGCACTAAAGTAAGGTGTACGGATGCATTATGGTTAAGTTCAACATAGCAAGTGTTATTTAATGCCACAATCGCGAAATCTAATGCGTAGTACGTATACATCGATGATATTTTGTATGTAAATATTTCAAAACAAAACTCTTTTTTTCTCTTAACTCCAGGGATAGATTTCAGTGCGCTTCGGTTTACACATTAGTATAGGCCTGAGGAACAAAATGCACTATGGATTGATTCTGGGCAACACTTGGTCCAGACCCTGGCACTATCCTTTAAATTTAGTACATCTCTTTATCTTTTTGGTGATCAAAAATGAAATCAATTTAGTACCGTAACCAATTTTTTATTGTGCCAAATTTGGCACATTTAATGATGTAGTTTTTTTATTCAAAAAATGAATTGTGGTATGTAAAAGATTACAATAAGTTTCTTTTTTATTAACTTTGCCTGAAAGAGATGTACTGAATTTTAGTAGGGTAAACTCCAGTCATTGGGAACTTATGAGTGTCGTTTAGTTATTTTGCAGTATTTTTATTTATTTTAAAATTATTTTAGTGCTAGGTTTTTAGACCGTAACCCCATTTTTTGTCTTGAAATTATTGGTTTAAAAGAGTCAAATACCCTATTCTGGGTTTTTGATAGGTTTTTCACACCCGTTTTTCGTAACAAAAACTCATAGCATCCATTGACTGGTTGATTACTAGGGTCATGTTGCCTGTTCGCGTCCACCTCACAAAACAGTGAAAAATGACCGTACCAACACACTACAAAATCGAAAGCCTTCTAAACTTTTATCACGCTATTTTATCGATTTTTCGTGATAAGTCAGTACATTTGTCGTAAAAATCGTCGATAAGATTTTATCACGTCACGCATCATAGCCCGGCTGGATATATTAGTGTCACTCAAGTATTTTTACTGTGTTTAAAAATGTTTTTTGAACGCAAAAAAACTAGGTGGTCGCAAACTGGCGTCTCGACCCTACATAAAAATTAGTGGAGATATAAAAATCGGAAAAATCTATTATTGTAGATTCGCTATCGCAGTCACACATGCTATGCTGTTTCCTGATTTGATCTCTTATACTAAGGGAGCGATATCTCCTTAGGTTTTTTGTATATATTAGTTTATTTAGTTATGCACTTCGAAAGTTTTTGATGAGTCCTTGACATTTAAAACGTTATTTGATTTATTTTAATTATATTTTTTGTTTAAAATTCTCTTTATATTACTAAATTTTTTTTATTAAAAATGACTCGTTTTATAAAATAAAAAAAAAAGTTGAAAACGTGTGATTTTTTGGCGATGTGTCGCCATATGTGATTTTACCCCAAAAAAGGGATTTCTATATTTTATCCAACGACAAATTAATTTTAGTGAGAATTGTAATTTTCAAGGGCTTATCTTAAAAGAAACCTTGACCGGAAATATTTTTAGCGCAATTGTAGTTTAAATACTTTGATAACAATAACTAATATCGGGGTTCTAATTTTGTATTTATATGAAGTTTAGTTTTTTAATAGGCAAGAGGAACTTACTGTGGCATAATTTAGGCGGTCTTATCACTGGGAAGCGGTCTCTTCCAGTCAACCCAGTGAGGACAGTTACTTAGTTAATGATTTTTTTTTCTAATTTTGTCTGAAGACGCTACTGTACTAATTTTAGTTACATTCAAATCATCAATTTAAAAACACAAAAAAAATATCATCATTAAAAAATATTTAATACGTCCATAACTGGGACAAACACCCTAAAATAAAATAATGAGCCATAGTAGAGACTATAAAAATAATTTTATTAAGCCTTGCCATCCATAGTGTTTTAAACCTCTTGTCTATGATTTATTTTTCTTTTAAAATGTCTATGGCATTTTGTCTATGGTTTATGAAGAATCCGACATTAGATTATTGTTATTCGATGAATGTTGTTTCTAGTATAAGTTTTCTAATACAAGTTTGTATATATTCGTGTAAGTTCGTGCGTAAGTCTGTAAGATAAAGATTGCCGTACAAATAAATGATTAAAATTGAATTTGTTTTCTTTTCGTAATTAAATAGTATCAAAATATATAAAAATATAGCAAAGTAAAATATGAAAGTGTAGATTTGTGTGCTCCACTATGTGTTTTTTCAATTAGTTTGAACTACTTTTACCGCCTCTGTGGTCCAGTGGTAAGCCTTTAGGCACAGAGGTCTAGGGTTCGATTCCCAGTGGGAGCAGTTTCTTCTGTTCGGGTTTGGGTGGTAGGGCTTGTTGGCGCTCCCATGACAAAACTATTGATTATCAAAAAAAAGAAAACAAAGTAAAATAGCAAATTTTCTTTAGTTAAAACCAAACTTTCTCTAAGCATGTTTTATCATAAAATTAATCCGAAGGGAAATTTAAAAAAAAAACTGCTCCTAGTCAGCATTTTTCCAATATGGCGGCGCGAGCGGCAACCATACGAGGTCGCAAAGATGAAATTCATAAAGAGCACATCGAAATCTATATAAATACCAATTTTCATTACTCCCGGAAAACATTCCAGGTAAAACTACCAAATGACTGGACCAGTAACATAACAGCTGCATTGGTACAATTTTGGCGCCCTTATCGCTAAAAAGCGATTAAATTCAACAATCGGAGATGAAGTCGAGTTGTAAAAAAAAAATATAATACCAAGTTTTGATACTTACTTTCACACCACAATGCCGCCAATTTAATAAAAAGCCAAGTCAATCTATTTTAAATTTTTATTAAGAAACTTACAAACTAACCTGTCAATTCATTTACAATGTCGATATGACGTCACGGCTGCGTGCGCAGTTAACACACACTGTCAACGTATTTTGATGTTTATTAGTTCTAAGATAAGTCCGGAGCCCACAGCTTGAACGTCCGGTCGAAAGAACATGTGGCTATGTATTTGTTGTCGTAGGATATGTCAGCGCTCATCACCTGAAAGGTAAATATTATTCGTTTATTTATTTACTTAAAAACTACTTTTAGAAGTAATAATCACGAAAATGAGTTTGTGCCAAAAATGGCACAAAGAAAACGGGCATTATCTTTCTCGTATAATACTAACAAATTTTTGGAAGTAGGCTTTTAAAAACACTTACACGTCCCAGTATTAACCCTACCACTGCTTCGGGACAATAAATGGGCCAGTGCTGAGAAGCAGCGTTAGAAAAATAGTCATTATTACTCAATTTTTTTTTTCTATATTGTGTCAAAGATTTATTTTATTCTAAAATGATGATGATGAATGATTTCGTATCATGAAGCGCTCCATATTGACTATTTATGAAATTATGCACAGTTTCCTATCACCCATAACAAATTTTTAAGCGTTGCTATTTACGGATATTCTCAAATATAAATGTTTTTTAAACATTTTTTAAAGATTATTAGATTTATTAGTGATTTGTTATTGCACAAATTACTAATAGTCCCGTTAACCCTTCGTACTAAGTTAAATATGCTTGTGTTACCACAATAGTCGAGCGGCGGCGGGATTCGAACCCGCGTTCTCCGGATCACGAGTTGGCCAGTCCGACCCCATCACCGTTTGGCGATAGATGGATATTCTCAAATATAAATGTTTTTAATGACATTTTACGCCCATAAGTGCACAATCTAGGTCAAAATTGAATAACATTAATTTTATTTAGTGTTTTTACCTTATTATCATGTCCTGATAAGGTCCTGAGCGGATGCCAGGCTGGGTTGGACCAGAGCTTCGCCGACTTGTCGTACGATGACGTCAGCAAGAAGTGGCCGTGGCTGCGTTGGTACCTTACATCTGGGAAGAAGAATAGTATTTATTTATTTTATTTTTTTTGGAAAACATACAGTGAAACAATAATACAATAATAGATCTATCATACAAATTTAATGACCTGACTTATGTACCTGTGATTTCACAATAAACACAATTTGAATTTGAATTAACCACTGCTTAAGGAACTATACACCATTTACATGTAATCTATACTAATATTATAAATGCGAAAGTAACTCGTGTCTGTCTGTCTTGCTTTCACGCCTAAACATATTGTGTATTGTTGTACCTATCGTTGGTGTACCTAATAAATAAAAAAAATAAAAAAAATAAATAAACCACTGAACCGACTTTGATGAAATGTGACATAGAGATAGTTTGAGTCCCGGGAAAGGACATACACTAACTCAACTAACATAATATAAGGAAAAATTGTTACTAATCCCTACTAACAAACTATGGATGAAAGTCTGAAATAAATTATTTATTATTATTATTATTTATATTTTCTTCTTAAAGATTCTCGGAACTGGATTATTATTATAGGATAGTTTTTATCCCGGTTTTTGAAACAGGGATGTGCGTGATAAAGTTTTTCTGTGACAGAACAAATTCCACGCGGGCGAAGCCGCGGGCGGAAAGCTAGTAATAAATAAATAGCTTTAACATTTTATTTCGTGGGTCGAATCACGAAAATTCATTTTATAAATAAATAAAATAAATATCCTTAGACATTTTACACTGCGCTTCTAGTCCCAAACTAAGCAAAGCTTGTACTATGGGTACTAGACAACGGATATAAACATACTTAAATACTTTTTTTTTGTAAATACATACTTATTATACATAGAAAACACCCAGTCAAATACAAACAAATATGTTCATGCACACAAATGTTTGTACTGTGCGGGAATCGAACCCGCTACCTCCGGAATAGTAGTCCGTTTTGAACCACTACACCAAACGGCCGACTTTATAATCTCACAAAAGATCGTAGCTGAAATTCTTTGTCAGAAAGCCAGTTAAAAAGGACCGAAATGAACATTTTCCATACTTAAAATTATCTTTAAATGTATCCTGTAAAATTGATAAAAATCAGTTATGTCTTTTTGTGATTCAACCCACGATTTATTTGAAGAAAACATGTAAAAACGAGACAATAAAGTTTTTTATAATTATTTTTTACTATCTAGGCACGCAACTTCGTACGCGTGTAAATCATTTTTTCATTAAATTAAAATATTTTTTTTTAATGAAAAAAACTACGTGGCTAAGGGGGTACATTGACCACAACCGGTGTCTTTACCCTACAAAATGTAAAATTGTACTGAGGGTTCCCACAGAAAATGCTACTGTAAACCCTTCAGAGGAAAACAATAGTGACCGAGTTTCTTGCGCTGCTTCTTCTCAGCACTGGCCCATTTATTGTCCCGAAGCAGTGGAAGGGTTAATACTGGGGCGTGTAAAAGTTCTTTTTAAAGGCCTACTTACAAAAATTTTTATGAGTTTTTTCTATATTGGTAGCGGCCTGCGTCCAGCGCTTTCCTGCTACCTTTGTGATGTCGTCGGTCCACCTTGTGGGTGGACGTCTCACGCTGCGTTTTCCGGTACGCGGCCTCCACTCCAGAACCTTGCTTTCCCATGGTCAGTCAGGAAAGCGCTGGACGCAGGCCGCTACCAACCGGGCATGGAAAGCATTGGGGGAGGCCTATGTTCAGCAATGGACGTCCTATGGCTGAGATGATGATGATGAAGATGAGGTTTTTTCTACTTACCGCTAACTAGATGCGTATGCGCTGGAATGGTGTACAGTATCGCTCTCCGTCTCAGATCCCAGATTTTAGTCTGAAAGACAAAAAATCTTTTTTAAAGAAGGGTCTCAAAACGTGATAAAATATGCAGTTACGGCGATATGATCCAAGAGAATAGTCTGGCCAAAGAAGGAGGGTAGAATGGCCAAAGTCGGAGGAAGGGGGTTAGTTTGACCAGAGGACCAGTCATTTGGAGAGAGTCAGAGGGTAACTGGATTGGGGGAGGGGGGCAGCTAAAACGGGACTATTCCCACCTCTCGTTCCCACCGCTGCAACTCCTATGTAGCCAGGATCTACAGCTTGACCGCCATAAAAACCCAACCAGTGAAGGTCAAGTTTGTCCCGGGGGAAAGTTAAACTGTCATTGGACCCGCAACGAAATTAATCAGAAGAACGTAGGAGGAGTTCGAAATTAAGGTTCGACTTCCCTCCATTGCAAAGCGGATGACAGGTGACAAACAAAAGTTTAAAACCTTTAAGAAAAGATTATGTACCACGGACAATAAATATCAATTAAGGGGGCCTATCTTATGAGCAATTAGCAACTACCTCCCAATAATATTTTTATCGTCGTCGGAAACGACGGCTGAAAAGCTGAAAGACGTCCATTTTTATATTATTTATATTATATTAGCTAGTGGGGGTGGATATAATGTATAATATTAGTCTTCACGTTAAATGCATGCTGTGTTTGCCTGTGACAGGGGTAACTTGTGGGGGACAAGGGTAACTTGTGGGGGACAGGGGTAGCTTGTGGGTGAACAGAGGTAGCTTGTAAGTCATATTGTCATGTCATGACATGCTCTNGTGAGCAGGGGTAACTTGTGGGTGTGCAGGGGTAGCTTGTGGGAAACAGGGGTAACTTGTGAGGAGGCAGGGGTAACTTGTGGGTGAGCAGGGGTAACTTGTGAAGAGGCAGGGGTAACTTGTGGGAAACAGGGGTAACTTATAGGGTGGTAGGGGTAGCTTATAGGGGGATAGGGGTAACTTGTAGGATGGAGTAGCTTGTGGGTGACAGGGGTAGCTTGTGGGTGAACAGAGGTAGCTTGTAAGTCATATTGTCATGTCATGACATGCTCTGTCATCTCACCTGGTGGTCGGCGGCGGAGGTGGCGAGCTGGTGGCCGGCGGGGGCCCAGTCGGCGCCCAGCACGGGCCCCAGGTGCCCCTCCAGGAACATCACGCAATGATGATGATGTGATATGATACTGATGATGTTGACTCACTTAGAGCTAGGAGGAGGCAGGTTGTGGGTAGCGAAGTAGAATGTGAGGAAGGGCAGGGGTAACTCGTGGGGGACAGTGGTACCTTGTGGGGAGACAGGGGGTAACTTATGGGGAGACAGGGGTAACTTGTGAAGAGGCAGGGGTAACTTGTAGGGAGGCAGGGGTAACATGTGAACAGGCGGGGGTAGCTTGACAGGGGTAGCTTGTGGGGAGACAGGGGGTAACTTGTGGGTGAGCAGGAGTAACTTGTGGGTGTCAGGGGTAACTTGTCGGAAACAGGGGTAACTTATAGGGTGGTAGGGGTGGCTTGTGGGGAGGCAAGGGTAAATTGTAGGGAGGCAGGGGTAACTTTTGAAGAGGCAGGGGTAGCTTGAGGGGAAATGTGGTAACTTATAGGGTGGTAGGGGTAGCTTGTGAGAAACAGGGGTAACTTGTAGGGGGGCAGTGGTAACTTGTGAAAAGGCGGGGGTAGCTTGACAGGAGTGGGTAACTTACGGGTGAACAGGGGTAATTTGTGGGTGACAGGGGTGACTTGTGGGTTAGCAGGGGTAGCTTGAGAGGGGACTGAGGTAACTTATAGGGTGGTGGTAGAGGTAGCTTGTGGATGAGCAGGGGTAGCTTGTGGGGGACAAGGGTAACTTGTGAAGAGGCGGGGGTAGCTTATAGGGTGTTAGAGGTAGCTTGTGAGGAACAGGGGTAGCTTGTGGGGAGACAGGGGGTAACTTGTGGGTGAGCAGGGTTAGCTTGTGGGAAACAGGGGTAACTTGTGAGGGAACAATTCGGGCAGCTAGCTTGGAACAGTGAGGGCAGCAAGATTAGGGGCAGTGGTAGCTTGTAGGGGGACAGGGGTAACCTATGGATGATCAGGGGTAGCTTGTGGGAAACAGGGGTAGCTTGTGGGGAGACAGGGGGTAACTTGTGGGTGAGCAGGGGTAACTTGTGAGGGGACAGGGGTAATTTGTAGAGTAGTAGGGGTAGCTTATAGGGGGACAGGGATGACTTGTGGGTTAGCAGGGGCTGCTAAGGGGGTAAGGGGCATCTGGGGGATTTTATTAAATATGATGTCTCGTGACTTAAACTAAAACACTAGATAAAAAGTCACTGTCTCCAAACTTAAATACCTACTAGAGCACTACTGAGTCTGTACCTCACAATCACACTAGACAATATCTCCAACAGGATGATAAAACATTATTATCACAATAGATAAAGATGAACACGAAAATCTTTGAATAGCCGTTTTTATATTTTGAAACTTGTGACAAATTAATCACCGACAAACTGACAAATGACTTAAGTGTTGTCGTTTGAGAAAAACCTTATAAGATTTTTTTTTGGATCGGGGAACACACTTAGCAGCCCACCTAATAAAGTCCACGGCGCTGCCTACAAAGTCGGCCGGGCCTGGTCAAAATACGTGAATTAATTAGGCCACAGAGCGGCGATGTGACGTAACGGCTGCCAGGTTAACCGAGTTGTATTACACACAGTTAATGTATTTAGATGTTTATTGGTTCTAAGATAAATCCGGAGCCCACAGCTTGAACGTCCGGTCGAAGGAACATGTGGCTATGTATTTGTTGTCGTAGGATATGTCAGCGCTCATCACCTGAAAGGTAAATATTATTCGCTTATTTATTTATTTTAAAACTACTTTTAAAAGTAATAATCACGAAAATGAGTTTGTGCCAAAAATGGCACAAAGAAAACGGGCATTATCTTTCTCGTATAATACTAATAATTTTTGCAAGTAGGCTTTTAAAAAGCACATACACGTCCCAGTATTAACCCTACCACTGCTTCGGGACAATAAATGGGCCAGTGCAGAGAAGAAGCAGTGCAAGAAACTGAGTCACATTTTTTTTTAATCAGATATTTTTTTCTATTTTGAGTCAAATGAAGATTCATTCTATTCGCAGGAAGAATCGATGCGGGCAGCGCATGACCGATATGGAAAGCCTTGGAGGAGGCCTTTCTCCAGGGCCGTCTTTAACCTATTAGGGGGGCCCTGGTCACTTAAAGATCAAGGGGGGCCCATATCATCTGGAGAAAGGTCTTTTGAGTACCCAGTTTTACCAACTTAGGGGATTTCCACCCAGATTTAGGGGGTAAAAAGGTGAGATGGGAATTTTTTTGGAGTATTTTTAGGGATATTTTGACTCTTTAAATACATATTTTTAAATTTATAATATTATAATTGTTATTATTTTAAGATAAATATACAAATGGTAGCCAACAGAGACATTAATATTTATTTCTTAACTTGAAATATTTCATGTATTAAATAATTTATTGGCTACAAATCTCATAATCACGCCTCTGAATGTCCGTTTTTTAAAGTTACGCTACCAACGAAAGCGTAACTTTATAAAGCGTCTACTGTAAATATTTTTTAGGGGGAAAACTCAATAATTAATTTTAGGGGGTTTTGACACAACTTTAGGGATAAATATTTTTGAGAGTTGGTACCACTGGGGGCCCCCTCGGTCGCGGGGCCCTGGGCACGTGCCCAAAGTGCCCAGTGGGAAAGAGGGGCCTGCCTTTGTCCAGTGTGCTTAGTGCGAGTTTACATCAAACGTGTACATCTTACTAGAGAGCGCGTAAAAAAATGTCATTAAATGTATGACGGATTGTACAGCGCCCCTAGCGAGAAACGTTCAAAAACTAAAAATTTCACACATTTTTTAATTACGTTCACTAGTGAGGACGTTGATGCAAACTCACACTCAGCCCTCAGCAGTGGACGTCATTTGGCTGAAACGAACGAAGTGCACAATGTAGGTCAAAATTGAAAAAAATCATTACCCGACTGCGCCAGAAGGAGGGTTATGTTTTTCGAGTGTATGTAAGTATGTATGTATATTTCTTTGGCACGGCCTACAGCCTAAACGGCTAGACCGATTTTAGCGTTAGAGGTATCGTTAGATTCGTCTTAATCGTGAAAGTGACACTAGCTACATTAAAATCAAAATGGCGGATTTTAGGAGCCATAATGTCTTCAAACAAAAAAAATTTTTCTCGAAACCTATCGAGTGGGGTATCAAAATAAAAGGCTTTTTAAGTAGCTTACAAAAATGTATGGTACTTAACTAAAAAGATTAAAATCAAATTATTATTGAATAAACAAAAAACCCAACTGCGTAAAAATGAACTAAAAAGATAAAAACAAGCGTTAGTGTTCACAAATGCAGTCGGAGGCATCAAATACATCACCAACAAAAGAATTAGTCATGCCTCCGACTGCATTTGTGAACACGAAGGCTTGTTTTTATCTTGTTTTCACCTTATTATCATGTCCTGATAAGGTCCTGAGCGGATGCCAGGCTGGGTTGGACCAGAGCTTCGCCGACTTGTCGTACGATGACGTCAGCAAGAAATGACCGTGGCTGCGTTGGTACCTTACATCTGGGGAAGAAGAATAGTAATCTATACTAAGCCTGGTCCGTGAGCACGTAGAATTTCGTCCAATGACCCCAAGCTACCCATCCTTATCGCTCGCATGTAATTATGTTGCTGTCGCGCTCGCACACTCACTGCGGGCGCCCGTCGCACAGTCGCGACAGCAATATAATTACGCGCGAGCGATAAGGATAGGTAGCTTGGGGTCATAGGACAAAATTCTACGTGCATTTTTATGAGTTTTTTCTATATTGGTAGCGGTCTACGTCCAGCGCGTTCCTGCTACCTTTATGATGTCGTCGGTCCACCTTGTGGGTGGACGTCCCACGCTGCGTTTTCCGGTACGCGGCCTCCACTCCAGAACCTTGCTTTCCCATGGTCAGTCAGGAAAGCGCTGGACGCAGGCCGCCACCAACCGGGCAACATGGAAAGCATTGGGGGAGGCCTATGTTCAGCAGTGGACGTCTTATGGCCAGGCCTGTTCATCTCCGCGAGTTTACATCGAAAACAAAACACGCACGTTGGCCCACCTACAGGATACTATTCGACAGGGCCTCACATACGAGCGAACATTGACTCACGCACGCGTATTCTTGTGTATGATGGAAGAAAATAAAGAAAATGGTGTACTAAATACTGTGCAGTATTTAACTGCCTAAATAATAATAAAAACACAGAATGTACTNTGTATATTAACTTCTCTTCATTTCGTATAAATTATTCCTCCTTTCTAAACTGCTGATCTCTTCGCATTTCCTCCTTGTCATCAAACCTCTGTCTCTGCAAGAGTTTGAACGCTTTCCTGCCGAGGAGATCAAGCGCTTCATCTGGCACTGCGCGCTTGAGGCCGTGGAGGACGCTGCTTGTAGCGTAAAAGTGTGCGAGACCCGTTGGACCCCAGAAGAAGAGAGGAACGTTCAGGGTAACGACTTATAACCGCATGCCTTCCAAGGTACCCACTTTTCCATCCTTCAAGTAGGAGTCTTTCCGACCTGACATCGCGCAGTTATCTTAACTAATAGAGTCTTTTAATATTTAGGCTGAGTTTTAAGAAATTTGTAGTGGCAATAATATTCACCAAACCGAACCTAATTAACGACCCTGAATCCCTTGAGGTTGGAACTATCTATTACAGTAGTTATAATATCGTAATTGTTAACTGTATACGAGCTTACGAGACAAAATAAATTGTGTCAATTAAGAGGGAGCTGTTTTATTTACATTTTTAATATCATTACAAGGAACGGTAATTCTTATAAATTTTTGCAAGCCGGACAACCTCTTTTCACGTGCAGACTATTCACCATCTTCTCCGTCTGCACCGGTGGCGGTTCAATTCCAGTCACCAAGCCACCAGAAAAAATCCTTTCTTGCAATGATGAATAATACAAAAGAGTAAACAAAAGAACCCGCTGTATAGCCATAACACAATGTTGATAAGTCANACAGAGGTTTGATGACAAGGAGGAAATGCGAAGAGATCAGCAGTTTAGAAAGGACAAATATTTCATACGAAATGAAGAGAAATTAAAATATATGAAATATCAAAATGTAAAATATGAAATTTGAAATATGAAATCTATGAAATTGTGAAATATGAAATTTGAAATCTGAACTATAAAATCCCGCATGAAGGCTGTTCACTAATTTGAGCTTCGCTCGCAGCCCTCAGCAACCCAATACCCTCATCCGAATAGAATTTAGGGAATTTCTCATGTGTGATTATTTTAAATTATATTAAGAAATTATCGTGGATGCATTCTGCAACACACGATTTGAATCTCAGGGGATTACATCCCCGAAAATAATAAAATTGCGGTTGCGCACGATCGACCAAAATTCCAAAGTCATTTGACAGCTCAACTGACAGCCGCGATTCATAGAGATGTCGCGAGACGTTCCGTTTCGCCGCCCAAAAAAGCAAACACTAATAAAAACCATGATGAAAACAATTTCCAGAACACTGAAAACATTCCATCAAAAAATAGAATAAACAAAATAAAAACATTAGGAAATGTTTCATTAAAATATATTTGAATTGACCGAGCAAAAAGCGCCATCTATTGCAAACCTTCTTCAATCAAACTTCTAAATCCGCCAATAGATGTCGCTAGTGGTATCCTAAATCCAAATATCGAGTAAGAAAATCAATTTGTGAAAAACAGCCAAAACTGCAACGCTACAAAACGTATGCATCCCCACTTCCCACCAATATTACTATACTATATTACCATTTAAAAGCCTAGTTATAAACTTCATTTCATTAAGGGCTGATTTTTCAATCGTCGGATAACTTTTAACTGAAGAATAAGTTTGGCACATGGACAGTTCTAGTATGAGATTATGTGAAAATTACAAGGTTATTCTTCAGTTAAAAGATATCTGACGATTGAAAAATCAGCCCTTAAGGAAAGGTTTTTACCCCAAAAATGTGTCTGTAGAAGAATCCAGAGTCACTTCTTCAAAAAATAGGTAGTTACGCTTGAGCCAACTTTTATGGCTATAAAACTGTTAAGTTGGGATTGATCGCTATCCATCTGTTAAAGAGGACACGTGAGATCATTATTTGGTTTTATAACCATAAAAATTGGTCTAATTGATCCCAGAGGTGAGCCCAAAGTGAGGTCTTTTTTCAAGTTTTTCAAGTCACATTTATTGTATATATGTTAATCGTTTATTAGGAAATTAAATGTGTTTTTCTTTAAGGATATTTATTGGGCTTTCAAATAACACCAATATTGTTGGGGCACCATGAATCATGATTGTGTCAGTAGAAACGAGTTTTCCTGTAAAACGTAGGTGGGCCGATTTTTGTGATGACCAGTGTAAAATGTGTTTTTCGAGCGTTATCATTATTGTTATTGAAATACGAATAAATTAATAACTATTATTACAAACTTACCTACACTCATACTCGTATCATGCGCAACTCATGATTTGAGTATAGGTAGGTTTGAAATAATAATTATTAATTTATTTGTATTTCAACAATAATTTTAACAACAAATTACATTCCCTCTATTATGGTTGAGTGAAGCGATGGCTGGTTCACTCGTCATGTCTGTGAACAGGCGCTGCTTTCGGGGACTGGTCGGTCAATCCAAATTATTCAAATTTATGTATGCGTATCATTTCTACTAGTATTTAAGTATCTTAATCTGTAAGTCTAGATATTAGCACGTCACTACCATGTTTAATATACCACGCAATTTTGTATACCCATTCTTATAAGATACACCATACAAGAATGCATGGTAAATTCAGTGAACTGCTCCTGAATCGAATGTACCTACTACTGCTATTTCCATTTATTTATATTAACCGGCAGACAGTGGTGACTGAGTTTGTTGCGGCGCTTCTTCTCAGCACTTGCCAAATGTTAGTCTCGAAGCGCTGGTAGGGTAAAAAGATTATGAGACATGTAGAGGCTCCTTAAGAGCAAAATAACGAATTGTAAGAACTGTTTATTAGTCTAAACAAATAAAGAAATTTTGACTTTGACTTTGAAATGACTAATATTCTACAGGGTGGAAACGATAAGTGATCTCACTCGATTATTTCTAAACTGGTTACTGATCCTGAAAGTGCTTCACGAGCTCTTTCAAACGGTACCAATTATAGGTTACAGAATAAACTGGATATATCCGAAAATTCAATAGTTCCAGCTTCCATACTAAATGTATGCCAGACACATAAATTAGAAGTGTACCTATTTTTAACCGACTCAAAAAAGGAGGAGGAGGTTATATGTTCGACTGTATGTATGTTTTTTTTTTCTATGTATGTTCACCGATTACTCCGTCAATTGTGGACCGATTTTCAAAATTCTTTTTTTGTTCGATAGGGTACACTTCTGAGGTGGTCCCATTGTCACCAAGTCAGGATCTGATGATGGGATCCTAGGGAAATCGATGGCAACCCTCAAATTTTATAGGCACGTATTTTTCAAACGTTTTCTTAAGTTATTCAAGTATTTGCTTCTGAAAATCATCATTTCATATTGATGAGCTTGATGATAGAAGTAAAACTCCTTAATGCTTAGAAGTTGGAGGATGATTCTTTTAATTTTATACATAAGTATAGTTTCTAAAGTTATTCAAGTGTTTGCATCAGATAGTCATCATCTCATCATGATGAACTGGTCATGGTACGTACAACTCCTTAACGCTTAGGAGTTGGAGGATAATTCTTTAAATATTATAGGTACAAATAGACCAACAGTTGTATTCTTTCATGTTTTTAAGGTGGGCTGACGGTTTAAGGTCTTTTTAGGTTGCCGATATGGTAACCTGTATTTTGTAGGGATTATTATTTTACACTTGACATGAAGAATATAGTCTCAATGTACGGCCTACATTCAGTGGTAACATCAAGGTAATAATAAGTAACTAAAAAGCAAGAAATAAGTTAATTTTTATTAAAAAAAAAAACCGACTCCAAAAAACATACACTAAAAAGTAGAAAAATAATTACTAATCTTATTTATTAGGACGAATTAATATTTATGTATACCATGATTGATACTTTTGGAGTGGGTGCAGGCAAACTTCACACGTTTCATAATCTTGGCACCGACTCCAGAAGTATCAATCATGGTATACATAAATATTAATTCGTCCTAATAAATAAGATTAGTAATTATTTTTCTACTTTTTAGTGTATGTTTTTTTAAATATAAAATAATAAATTTTAAAATAAACTCGTAAAGTCATTCTTATTTAAAATTATTTATGGAAAATATTGGTTTTAGGCTTTACTTGCTATAATATTATCAAGAGATGAGTGCCATTATGTGCTAGTACTAAATGTATGGGAGACGGAAACATTGAATTTTTGGATAGATCCAATTTATTCTGTAATCTATTATTGATATCGTTGGATAGATCTCGTGATAAACTTTTAGGATCAGTAACCAGTTTTACGATATCTTGTGTAGTTTTTAATATTACGTGGCTTTACTAAATGTATGGAAGCTGGAAACATTGAATTTTCGGATAGATCCAGTT